ACGCCTTTTGTAACGCTTGAAAAAATATTCTTTAAAAAATCCACGCCTTTTGTGGCTCTTGAAAAAATATTCTTTAAAAAATCCACGCCTTTTGTATTCCTTGAAAAAATATATTTAAAAATCCACTCCTTTTGTATTCCTTGAGAAAATATTCTTTACAAAATCCACGCCTTTTGTGGCCCTTGAAAAAAATAGTCTTTACAAAATCCACGCCTCTTGTGGTCCTTGAAAAAAGTATTTAAAAAATCTACGCCTCTTGTGGTCTTTGAAAAAATATTCTTTCAAAAAATCCACGCCTGTTGGTCCTAGAAAAAAACATTCTTTAATAAATCCACGCCTTTTGCATTCCTTGAAAATATATTCTTTAAAAAATCCATGCCTTGAATAATGTATACGTAGTTTACATATTTACATGTGTGTTATAATTTATCAAATCAAAATAGGTGGAACACGAACACCCAACCCCCCGCACAACATTCGCAAAATTTTCATTGTATTACAAAGCCCTAAAACTCAGAACACAACAGAACACAGCTGGCATTCAAATGCAAAAACATCGAACATAAAATGAAGAATAGCTCACACAATGTGGCTGGAAAACAAATGAACGAGCGAACGCCGAACAAACGAATGCGACACCGCGACAAAACATGAACATTTACCACAAATTTGTTAGCAATGACATTTAACAATGGCGACAACAACACAACAGCAGCATCACCATGTAAAGATCAACAATCGAACAAACCAAATGCCAACCAGTGTGTCAAAGTTCCCGGGTCATTTTTTTTCCTTCCACCCTCTCTCTCTCACACACACACACACGTTCTCCCATGAGAATTAAGAGGTTGCAGATGACAAATTTATCATTGGGTTCACATCCGTTACCGTGTAGTGTTATTGGTAGAATGATGATGGTGTAGGAACAGGTGAGAGTGAGTGAGTATGGGTGTGTGTGTCGACGGTGTCGGCGAACATGTATTGCAGAGAATTGAATTTACATCATTAGTGCAGACATGTTTTGCATATACCCATGTGTTTTCTGTTTCCGTTATTTTCTGTTTCCGTTGCCTTTGTTGCTAGCACACATTTATTTTGGCAAATTTATCATGTCGTCAGTGTGTGATGTTGTACGACTACAAAAGCGATTATATTATAGATTGCTAACTCGTAGAACATTTTAAGTGATTTACTCTTAGGCATTTGGTTTTGGCGGGTATAAAACAACTAATACAAAATTCGTCGATAGAAGAATTTATCGAATTATGACTGATAAGAACCATAAATAAACTAAAAACGTTGATTAAAAAAATGTGAAAGATCATTAGTGTAATAATAAACACGAACCGTTAAAATTATTTTAAAACAATTTCTTTACAAAATGACTTTCCGAAATCTTGTGAACTTATAGCTTGGATTTATACCCTCAACCATAGAGTAGATCGTATAAAACCATTGTATTTTCGTTTGCAAGCCATAAAGTATTATATTCTTAATAAGAAATCTGTTGAAATCACGATAGAACTTGCCATATTTATGATGGAAATCTAAAATTTTGCACATAAATTGCCTCTAGTTCTAGGATATTTCGTTTGGAATATGTCGGTCAACAGTTTAACGGTACCCCCAAAACACACATAAGCTTACGGGAAATATGCGGAACAAAGGGGGGAAGAACAAATATGGGACACACACGCTATTGATTTCAGGGGCCAATAAACTTTCAGGGTCATCAAGGCCATGTAAATGGACCACATTGGGGAAGACAAAAGAAAATATGGAACGGACGAATGTCACAAAACAATAAGAGGGACAGAGATAGAACACAATACGATCACACAACAAAACAAGAGGAAAAGCGAAGGATGAGTCATAAATACAGGTCAATGACGTCATTAGTGTAAAGCAATTACCAAAAGTAACTTATTTGGCTTATGATGAACATAAAACATATACTATTGGGTTCTTATGGGTACTAAATGTCTCCACAAAAAATTATAAATATAAGTCCACTTTTTCTGGTAGTCCCATATAACGGTACCTCCCATATAACGGTACCTCTTATACTAATAAAAGACTAAAGTGATAGACTGACTGACTGATTTAACGATTCATCAACACCCAGACGAAACGGATGAAGCTAGAATCATGAAATTTTGGGTGAGGATCACTCTTGGTCCAAAGATAAGGAAATTTTGGAAATTCGTACTAGAACGATACGAAAAGTACTAAAACTGTACTAAATGTGATACCATTTGTATTTGGCGAACCGGTAGAGCTAGAACTCTGAAATTTAGATTGGTGGTCGCTGTAGGATAGGTGTAGCAAAGGGTTTTTGGAAATTCGAACTATAGCTATCCGAAAAGTACTAAAATGTACCGAATTTGGTACAAATTCGTAGCATGTGAATAAATGGAGCTAAAAACTTGAAATGTGGAATGCGAATTAGTGTTGAGATGTAGAGTCTATTTAAGGAGATGGTTTTGAAAGCGTGTACTCATGTGTACGAAAAGTACTATATGGTACTATATTTGGTACAAATTTAATTTTGAGATACAAATCGAGCTGGAATTTGAAATTTAAATTACCGTCGGAGTGTAGGATTGGGATATAAATGTAGTTTTGGTATTTTTTTAATTGTGTGTACGAAAAGTACTAAATCGTACTATCGTACTAAATCGGTACAGTTTGAATTTGGATGAACCGATAGTGCGGGAACAATGAAATTTGAAGATAGGATCACTGTAGGGGTGTGGGATTGGGGTCAGGATTCAGTTTAAGAAAATAATAGTTATGGGTACTAAATTGTACTTAATTTTGTACAATTTGAATTTTAGGTGAACCAATAGAATCATGAAATTTGTTGTCAAGATCACTGTTGAGGTGCAAGATTGAGATATGTAGGAAGTTTTAGAAATTATTACTAATGTGCACTAAATTTGGTACAATTTGAATTGTGAGTCAACCAATAGAGTTGGAATCCTGAAACTTGGATTTGGGATCACTATGGGGGTGTAGGGTTGGGGTATGTAAAAAGTTTTAGAATTTTGTACTAAGTGTACTAAATTTGGTACAATTTAAATTGTGGGTGAAACGATAGAGTTGGAATCCTGAAATTTTGATTTATGATAACTGTGGAGGTGTAGGAAGGTTTGGAAATTGGTACTACTATGTACTAAATTTAGTACAGCTTGAATTGTGGGTGAACCAATAGAGTTGGAATCCTGCGGGTGTGTAGAATTGGGAATGTAGGAAGTTTTGGAAATTCGTACTACTGTGTACTAAATTTGGTACAATTTGAATTGTGAGTGAACCGATAGAGTTGGAATCCTGAAACTTGGATTTAGGATCACTATGGGGGTGTAGATTTATGGTAAGAAGGAGGTTTTACAAATTCGTATTACTGTGTACTAAATGTGGTACAATTTAAATTGTGGGTGAACCGATAGAGTTGGAATGCTGAAACTTGGATTTAGGATCAGTGTAGGTGGTAGGATGGAGGTATATAGGAAGTTTTGGAAATTGGTACTACTGTGTACTAAACTTGGTACAATTTGAATGATGAGTCAATTGATAGACTTTGAATCCAAAAACATGGATTTAGCATCACTGTGGGGTTTAGGATCGGGGTATGTAGGAAGTTTTGGAAATTCATACTACTAAATCCAAGTTTCCCTCCAGCTAGTCCATTTCCATACCGTATGAACGAGATTTTCTTATATTTTTCGTTTAGTTCGATAAAACACGTGGCAAGTTAAGCGAACACTTAACACAGCGCCATTTTGTAATTTTTTAAGCCCGTAAGCTTGATTAACTCTTTAAATGCGTCTTTCTTGTAAGCCGTCCGAAGACGAACTAGAAGCGAGAATTGTGAATTTAAATTTTTAAGGAATAAATTCAAAATTTATGCAACAACCTATTTGTTTGTGTCCTAGCTCCGTTGTCAAATGTCATATGATTCACATATAGATGGCGCTGTCTGTCTTATTTTAATATTTATTTAAAGCTATATTATTCCAAGTCCTATTAAAAATGTCTATCAGGAAAACGAAAAACAATTGTTTTTCTCATGTTAAATTTCAAAATGAAGTCACTTCCCAATAATGGATTTTGACAGCCGAAATGCAGCTGATCTTCTTAGATAACCCCATCAATTATTTTCAATTCATAATAATTTTAATTTGTTTTTTTTTCTAACGCAATCACTTTTTGACAGGTCAACAGCGGTTCTAATCCGTCTACATAAGAGATTTCATATGTCAAAAATATTAAAAAGTTCATCTCTTTACATAATTTTTTCGGAATACCCTTTTTAACCAACCAAAAATTGAGTAATTTTAGTCCTTACTAAAAATTTTAATAATTTTTGTTCCAAATCGCAACATTTTTGACAGCTCATTGCATCAACAGCTGTTTTGATCCACTTACCTCGTTAAATCTACCAACAGCTGATTAATATTCGTCCATGTCACTCACTTTCTAAACAATATATCGCCGCTTTGCATCACACTTCATTCGTAAACATTACTGGCTTTCGTCGATTTTGTTTCGATCTTCGTATTTATTCGTTATTCCCTCCCATCCATAACTATTCGTAGCATTTGGAACGTTTTTAAATAAAGTGGGTCGTAGTGTGAAAATAAAGAAAATAAAAATAAAGAAAAGAAGAACGAATAGCGGAGTGTGTGTGAGTGTAAAAATAAAGAAATTAAATGTCATAAATTGTCCATAAAATAATGTAAATATATAAGAATCCAAACGAATGTGAGGAAACACAAATGTTTTCAATTATTGTGCTTGGTCATTCGAATATTGAAGCCAAACATATGTGAATCGCAAGCGGACAGGAAGGCAGAGAGGAATTATTAAAACGAAAATTGAGGAAAAATCCTTCTCCTCTTGGTAATTGACAACAAACTGCTACGGCTGCTGTTGTTAGGTGCACACCTAAAACGTTGACAAGGACGAGGGCGCACACACACTCACACTGATCTTAAGCAATGGCATCGACAATGCAGCTGGAGTTCGCCCAGGCGATGTCCGATTTTAAAATAATGTTTCCCGATATGGATCGAGATGTTATTGAGGCAGTGTTACGTGCCAATCAAGGAGCTGTGGATGCCACCATTGATCAGCTGCTTCAAATGTCCACAGATAATCAGGTTAGTGGAGATTTTTAATTTGATTGTAGACACGGTTTTTGTAATAGTACCTTCTATTTACATTAGAATGAAAAACTACGCAACGAATTGGAAAATGTTTCGCCCCAAAGAAGCCTCATCAATCTAAGCGATAGCGACACAGAAGCCGCCAGCCGTAACCGGCAGCCGGCCACAGGCCAACTTATTGATGTCGATGATATTGATGGCATTAGTGGTGGTGGCGTGGTGGACAAATCTTTACCCTCCGCTGGAGTTCTATTGAATATTGGCACCAATTCACCAAATCACAGCACAACAGGAGCATCTCCCAAAGTAAGACCGCCGGCTCAACTGCAATCTCAAAAATCCTCACAGGGTAGCACACCCAAACGTTTGCAAACAAATCGCAGCCAGACTACAGGCATCAATCGACGATGGAACCCACCCATGTTGTTGCCTCTACCCTCAACATTTTTACGGATCAACCCCGTTGGCAGTGGCGGCGGCAATACAATTGCCCTGCCCTACGATCCCAATCGAGATTTCGATTTGCCCGATGAACAGTTTGCCATGATGCTGCAAAATGAGGAATTCATGAATCAACTGCGCATCAATCAGGAGTTTATGAATGCCCTGGAAAAGGAGCATGCCGGCAAGGGGAAGCCAGACGGCGATGCTGATTTCAAGGAACGTTTAAAGCACATGGGAAAAATGTCACGTAAGAAATTCCTACAAATGGCAAGAGTATTTACATGGCAGCGCAACAAAAAAGTAACCACAGCCAAACAAATTGATTCGTTGCCATTGAAAGAGGAACCCAGTGATGATGAGGAAAATCACCACCACCATCATCAGCAGCAGCAGCATCAACAACAGCACGCAAAGAGTAAAACTTCCAGTGATCATTCTCATACACAAAGTTCCCAACAACAACCACAACGCAAGTAAGTTTTCCATGTGTGTTGGTTAGCAGGCTAACGAACTCCTCCAAAAAAAAATGAAGAGATCAGACAAAGAATTGTTAATGGTATTCCTTAAAGAAACAAAGAAGCAAACATAGAAACGAACAAAAAGTTGTAGAAAATTCTTAAGAAAAAAATAAGATTGTTTATCATTATTATGATTTGATTTTGTTATCATTAGGCTTGTTATAATTTCTAAAGACGACGGTGTTTACTTTTTGGATAAAAGTCTCAAAATGAAACGCAATTAAAATATTGTACTACGGCATACATACATACAAAATGTCATTTATGGACATCCATATATATATACAATAAGATACTATATATGCATACAAGCCCACACACATTATTACAATGTTGTTTAAACAAATGTATTTTAAACAAAAACAAAAAGACGTTAACATGGGAATCTCATATTATTTCTAAAACTTTTTTTTTTGTGTCATAATGTACAACATTTAAGTTTCTTATTTTTTTGCAGCTATTTGCTTTCTCATACTAACTACTTTATTTTATAATGCAAAATACATATACTTGTGTTTTATTATATATTATTATACTTATTGTGTCATTGAATGAAATTTTATACATCACAATCATTTGATTAGTTTTTGAACTGATGTTATTTTATTTGTCTTTACTGTAGACCTTTAAGATCTATAGTATTTGTAATAATTTCAAATAATGTGTGCAATACAAATGCAATATTTCGAAAAAAAATAATATATACTATTATTTTTAGTTTTATAATATTTGTAAATATTTTCTTTAGTTTACTTTTTTTTTCTTGTTACAAAATTGTCAAAATCTCTTTTTTATTGTAAATAAAATTATTATTTGTAATATATATACAAATTGTTGGAAATTTTGTAGTGTATATTTTTATTTTTTAAATACATATTGATTGATTTTATGCATATGAACATGACTTTATAGTGAAAAGTCGCTTGAAGATTTTTTCGTTTTGCCATTCCCATGAAATATTCGCCAAAGACCATAAAAAGATTTATTAATATTGATTTGTCCTTTTAGCTCGCAATGTCTAAAATATAACGTAGAACATTTAAGTTGATATTTCAGAAATGCCTTTTTTGCAGTTTTGCTATTATTTTTGTATCAAAATAGTTTTAAATTGATATTTCGGTTGTATGAAAAACCTTCTAGTAAACATTTTAGTTAAAATAAATTAAAATTTTTGTGGGGTTTCTTTAACTACAGTATAGTAGATATAAAAAGAACAATTGAATATTGAATTCAATCATATATGGATCGCAATCAGGCACATTAGGACAGTAATTTGTTTTATTATTTCTTGGGGCAATATCAATCCAGATACTAGACGTATTTTAGTTCTTATATAGGCATTTTAACGGACCCGAACGTTTTTTGTGTTTCGATTCCAAATTTGTACACGTTTCCCTGAGTGTGTAGCTATCGTCTGAACTAGGATAAAGTCAATCGGTGAAGATCTTCCTTATTTTTATACCCTCCACCATAGTATGGAGGGTATATTAATTTTGTTTTTTCGTTTGTAACTCATCGAAATAATCATTTCCGACCCTATAAAGTATAAAGCGTAAAATTCTATGACGATTTAGCCATGTCCGTTTGTCTGTTGTAATCACTCTAGCGTCTAAACGAATGGATATAGATCGCCAAAATTTTGCATAGTCCACGTTTATGCATAGCTCCCATATAAGGGTACCCCCAATTTTCGGTATTTTGAGGTTCTTGAGCGCGTTTTTCAACTGAATTCGCTGAAATTTGGTACATTGAGTTCTTATTGGGTAGCAAATCTCTCCACCAACAATTATAAATATGGGTCCATATTTTCGGATAGCCCCCATATAAGGGTACCCCCAATTTTGCAGAATTTGGGGGGTTTGAACGCATTTTTTCGACCGAGTTCGCTGAAATTCGGTACTTTGAGTTCTTATTAGTTAGCAAATCTCTATACTAAAAATTATAAATATAGGTCAATTTTTTCGGGTAGCCCCCATATAAGGGTACCCACCAATTTTGGGTATTTTAGGGTTCTTGGTTTTCAATCGAATTCGCTGAAATTTGGTACATTGGGTTCTTATTGGGTACCAAATTTCCCCACTAAAAATTATAAATATAGGTTCACTAAAAATTATAAATATAGGTTCATATAAGGGTACCCCAATTTTCGATATTTTGAGGTTCTTAAGCACATTTTTTAACCGAATTCGCTGAAATTTAGTATTTTGTAGTCGTATATGGTAACAAATCTCCCCACCAAAAATTATTAATATTCACCCCTTTTTAGGGGTAGTCCCCATATAACGCCCTTTTTATATTAAAATAGTTATCTGATTTGCTCCGTGTGTTGGGGTTGGGTAGTCGATACGGGGAAAGATATTGTGATAAGACCAATCCCTCATTTCACAAGCAAATTGTTGATTCAGCGGAGAAGGTTGAACCCCATGGGGAATTTGATTTGCTAGTTTCTGAACGATCTTGTTCAAATCTGTTTTGATTCTTCAGTAGGTAGATGGGAAAATCCTCACAAAAAAATATACAGCCTTATTCTGGATGTCAATTCCACGTGAATTTACTCGCTCTTTTCCTTCGTCTTATTCTGAACAACATTTTTGTGTGAATTTTTTCGCATTCTCGCTTTCGCCTTATTCTGAATGAAGTTCGAAAGCGAAAAAATCCGCTTTGGGGAAAAATTAGGTATTCTGGATTACAGGGAGTAGGAAATTTTGTGCGAAATTTTTCGCTAATAAATTTAAGGGGAGTTGACTACAAAGACATAAGTAATTACTATTTTTATGAAAAATATTTACACAATACTTATTGTATGACGATTTAGAATATTATAAATGATAGTAAGCACACTTTTAACTGGAAAACAACCAATAAAATGCCATTGGAAATCCTATTGATAACGATGCCTGCTGATCCAAGTATTGCCAAGGAATAAATGAAGGTAATATGGAATATTTAAGTCGAGTTTGATGCAGTTTGGAGGCAAAATACAGACATTTTGGGTGAGGGTCTGTCTCTCAAAAAAAAATTAAAAATTATGGAAAAACCAAATTTGCCTGATGAGCCGCTTAACAGTGAAAAACTTAAATAAAAATTATAAAAGAACAAAAAATATTTTTTTTAAATTATGGTAATCATAACATAACATGTCACTTTTAGAATCTGGGGAAATAAATATCGAAATTAAATAAAAAGGCACACAATTATGTAGTGGAATCATGGTACAATTATAAAAGGTAACAGCAAATCCCAGCTGATTTGATTCCAACGTAATACTAGTGTCAATATGAATTTGACAAATTATGTTATTAAAAATCACCCAACAGGAAAATTGGTAACGGATACAATTTGAAATTGTTCATTATTAAATGAGCTCCAGTATTCAATTTACTAAATCTGCCTGCTGGGAAAGTTTGAGGAAGCACATATTTCTTCAAGGAATAACTCGCTATTCCCAGCATTTTCATATGTGTTACACATATATATGGCAATGGCCCAATTATAGGAAAGATGTGGAAGCGATAGAAATATAAATTTGATAGATTTTCATTCATGTTTTTCAATTTTTATTTTGAGTATTCGAGAATATTTCATTTTCAAAATAAAAATAATTTGATGATAATTTGTTTGTTTGTTTACATTTTTCTGTCAAAGGAGTTGACACTAGTAGAACTTACAACAACAAATTTCCATGTGGTTGTTGTATCGTTTTTTGTACAACAACACTTGCTGTTACCTTCTATTATTATACCATGTAGTGGAATAATAAATTGAATTAATTAATTCAATCGCAGATTTCTTTCCATTATTCGTTGTGTTTTTGTCATCATAAAAATGTTCTTTTATTTATAATCTTGTTGTAGTTGTTGCACCAAATTGCATCAAAACAATGAACAGCTGTTTCACATGCCATATTGTAGGTTGCCATATTTTCAAACTTTAATTTATTTTCTTTTATTTACAAAGCATTTATACAGCGGATTCTTGATATTTCACATTTGTATTGCTATATAGTGTAAATAACAATAAAAAGTAACAATTTTTAATAACAAAAATCAATAAATAATATATTGAAAAATGTTACACAATTAAATTACAATGGGGCAACACACATTGCAACTTAAATTACAATATGGCCACACACATTGCAACTTAATTTACGATATGGCAACACGAATCTTTTTTTCAACCACCATTTTCGAAAACTCGAATCTGCATCTCGCATTTTTTGCATCTCCCCATTCATTCAGAATAAGGCGAGAATGTGAAAGCGAAAATTTTTTACATGCGAGATATCTCCCTAGCAAATATCCAGAATAAGGCTGATAGTTTCAGCTTTTAATGGCGCAAATAGTATATCAACAAAGGCCCTCCATCAAATTTAATTTGAATTTCTTTATTTTATTTTTCTTAAATTTGCGGTTGGTTGGTTTATTTTAAAATCAAAATTATATTGAATATGATATATCTGTGATTAATGATAATTTTTTTTATAGAATATTTAATTAAACACCAGTTTATATGAGCATATATTTCCGCATTTTAAATATTCGCCATGTCTGCTCAAAATTTGAAATTTTCTCTAACTCATCTGACTGTCTTGTTTTTCTATTAGATGCAATATTTCTCAAAAAATATATATCCCCTGCATATAGTCGGCTCATTCTGGATATTTGCTAGGGAGAAATCTCTCTAGTGAAAAATGTCTCCTTTTCACTTCTTCGAATTGAAGAGGGAGCGGTTGAGTACGTTTGCGTTGATAATAAATATTTTCAAATGACAGTTTAAGTATATAAATAAATAATAATATATTTTCTATATTATTATGGCCAACATCCTCTGTTAAATATAACATAAACTATAAAAATAAATTTTCTAATGTATCAGTAATTAAAATCAATAATAATAACAAATAATAAAATTAATCCTTTAAATGTATCCATACAGTATTGCGAAGTGAGAAAATTAAAAAAAAACAAATCCTTAACTAATAATTTTAATATATAGTTTAAAAAAAGATAGACAAACAAAACTAAAAATAAAATTAAATAATAATAATAAATGCATCTCTATAAAATCTAACAATTATTCAAATTCATATCATGCTTCGCAGAATAGATAAAGTATTTCCTTTTTGTTTGTCATTTAGAATTATTGTTCATGTTTATTTTTTTTTTTTGTATTTTGAAGAATATGAATAAAATAAGAAAAAAATATTATAAATAAAATTACC